CCTTGCTGTGCCTCTGGGATCTTGCAGGGGCTGCTGTGGACACCCCAGTGCTGAGACCTCTGTTATGAACATGGCCATAGCCACAGCCGTGACACTTTGCTGGAAAAGCAGGCATGAAATCAGAAGCCTAATTCTCCAAAAGGGTTCTATTGTTACTGAAGCAGACTATTAACGCTAGCTCCTTCAGTGGCCAAAGAGTTAAAACTTCTTCCCCTCACAACTTAGCTGATGACAAAGAACACTAAAACTTTAAGGGGTATAAAGGGCAAGTAGTCAATTAAAATCACATTGACTCTTTGCACAATGGTGAAAAGGGGCAAGCGGTGTTTAAAGTAAGAGAAACCTCATTTCCAATATAGATGAACCACACTTGAGTCCTGCGACCTTGAGAAACTGACCTGGGCTCAGTCTTTGTTCACTTATTTATAAAATGGAGCTAACGACATCTTCTTGCTTATTGTGAGCATTAAATAAGATGTCACGGGTAAAGTGTCCCGTATTTGGCAACTGCTCAAATTACATTTGTATACTAATTTATGTATGAATATCTACATCAAAGATAGAGTTTGAAAATGACTCCCTTTCCACCCAATCACTGACCCTTCTTCCTGTGTCTTATTATTCCTACACTATTCTCAGTGTTTGAATATTCCTTCTCTGCACCTGTCTTTTGCTCAATCATATGTACCGCATCATAAATGAAGGGGAATCAACTTTTCTCTCCCAAAGCTACAAGATATGCATGTTGTCAAAGAATAAAACAAAATCAGAGGTTTTTGTTTGTTTTTAAGGAGCTCAATGAATATACTTGCCCGATGTAGGTTGACATCAACGAAGAAGCTCCCCAAACCATTGTATAAAGAGCAGAGGTGATAGTGGTATTTGTGATATGCTACAAAAGCCAGAATGGGGTTTGAGGGAGGTTCATGGTGTGTATGCTAATTCAAACTGAAAACTTAAGCTCTAGATAGCACCAAATGGTTCATAAGTCTGTCCATGTTCCTTCAAATGTGTTCCCTAATTCATAGGTCAGGAAATGTCTTCATTTGGGTCCAGGAAGGATCTGGTTTCCTGGTCATAACTCAAAATTCAAAATTACTTAGTAGCACTAGCTAGTTAGAACCAGCCATGGTGAACACAGCATCTGGTTTCTATCTATTCTATACAAAGTCTGCTGTACATGGAACATATTAAGACTGAGACTACAGTGATCATGGTTGGTACCCAGGGAGCAAAATTTAAGAAGGCACTTACTCTTAGAGTTGTGCTGTGTGGTTTGGCACCCAGGGGCAAATGTCTCCTTGTGTACTCTGTCCTAGGCTTCCCACTTGCCTCACCAGGTCTTGGCCCTGCTTTGAATCCAACTGCCAGGACTTTAGACTTTACCAAGTACAGAGAGGAGGCATTTCAGGAAATGAGATATAGAATATTTTTGAGCTGAAAGGAACCTCAGATACCCCCTCTATACTATTTTTCTCATTGGAAAAATACAACTGAGGCCCAGCATAGACACATGAATTATTCAAGTCACAAAGACGGCAGAAGTTTCCTCAGGCCAGCTGGGAGCTCTTGCCCTCCTACACTTTAGAGTCATGTCGTGGTCACAGGATACTTCAATGTCAGGGTTTTAATGGGTGCATTCCTTTTTTCTGATTTTATCAATTATGGGAATGAAGCCAATGTGCAGAACTTTACCCCTGCTGGGCTGGGACACACTTGAGGAAGGTTGGGGCATGCAGGGAAGTGAGTGGGAAAGGAAGAAGAGAGTTAAGTTTTCATATATTCCTGCACTGGGGGGCAGACACATGCAGAGAGGCTTGAGTACACCTCGTTTCATCTTCACAATATCCCTATCCTGGGGAAATTTGATCTCCATTGAAAGTTGAGGAAACTGAACTTTTAAAACAGAGCTAGCTGGGGTGCCTGGGTTGCTCAGTTGGTTAAGTGGCTGCCTTCCCCTCAGGGTCCTGAGATTGAGCCCTGAGCCTGGTTTCTGCTCAGCAGGAAGTCTGCTTCTCCTTGTGACCCTGCCCTCCCCTCCTCTCCCACCACATGCTCTCTCTCTCTCTCTCTCTCAAATATAAAAATAAAAACAGAGGTAATAAAAGGCAGAGCTGGGATTTCAAGCCAAGTTTCTCAGGGTCTGTATCAGTTAGAGATCTTTTGGGGGAAAGTGACAGAAAAATCCAACCAAATGATCAAAAATATTTTTGCATATTCCCACTAAGGCTGGAAAGACCCCTGGCTTGAGGCTCGGCTACATTGGTCATGCAGTCTCAGTTCCCCTCCATCTCTTGGTTCTGCCATCCTTCCTGTTACCATTGTCGTCTGGCTCAGGTTGGATGATAAGATGGCCAGACAGCACTTCCAGGCCACCATCCTCTCAGGTTCAAGTCCAGAAGAAGAAAGGAAAAATCTTCTCAATAGTCCCAGCAAACATCACATTTCATTCTGTTGGTTCTGAATGTGTCACATGCCCATGCGAGGCTACTTAGAGTGATCAAGGAAATGAACATTCTGATTGCCTGAGTCTGAGTCACATGGCTGCTGTGTGGGTGTGTTAGACCATCCAAGGCTCCAGATGTGAAGACAGAGGGGTTAGTCTTCCTTTTTGTTAATACAAGATCAGCGAAGGACAAGGAGGCAAAACCTGCAGCTGGCGTGGCAAGCTCCTAAACCTGATGCCATTAATAAGATCCAGAGAAAGCCCGTAAAAGCAGACCACTGGGGAAATATACTCGAGGCTTAGGAATTGTAGCAAAACCTCCCTAATATTGCAGGATTGTGCACAACTGGGGCAGAGAAGAGGCAATGTAATATAACCCCTTAGTGTGGCACGGTGATGTCACTGAATCAGGCTTAGAGACAAAAATAAATTGCTCTCATGTTTCATCAGTCACCAGAGAGCCAGGATGTAATATAAATGTTGACCTACAGGTAAAATATGTACCTGATATAAAGTCATCTCGGTTTCATTTCAGGATCATGTTAAAATAAATTCATGAGGAGGCCCATTGGATTTGAGTCATCAGGTAGAAATTCCACCAATGTTCGGTGAGGACTTTGGTGTGCACTGTACCCACCCCTAGCAGGTGGGGAGGGAAGCTTTAACTGGAGGAGAACCCAAAACATGGGACTGAATCTGCAAAGTCAGACACTAGGAAGATTGGGCTGAGGGATACTGGGAGCAGGCAAAGAGGAAGGAAATCTGGCCCTCGATCCTGTGAGGCGTGTGGCAGACACCTGCAGCTCTGTTGGCAGCACCCCTACTTCACCACCTCAGCATGCACTCACCAGAATTCCAACCGCCACTGCCTGCATTTCTTTGCCTGAGGGCTTTCTTTTGCTGTAGGAGACTCACTTGCCATGCATGGCAGACCAGAAGAGCCAGAGGCAGATAACTATGCCACCCCTAGCTCTCACCAGTGACTGAGGGAAATGGAGGTCTGAGCACCCCCAGATCCCTTCTCCTATGAGTAGTAATGCAGACACGTATATTTCACACTGGCTTCCCAATGAGATGAAGTTCCAGTCACCCACAGCAGTAACTGGCTTGCGGATGCACCCTATATTGTTTGTCTCCCTTTTCCTTTCTCACTTCTCCATGCCTCTGCTTATCTTCACAACCCAAAGAAACTACTTGTACTCAAGCCCTTGCTTCTGAATCTGCGCCTGGAGAAACACAAAGATTGGAGATGGAAATTACTGCCACTGAAGACATGAATGAGCAGGCGAGTTATAGGTTAAGCAGTGCTCAAGAACCAGGCAAGTAACCTCAGTGTTTCATCAGCTCAAGGCTTCTAGGTGTGTATCAGGAAGCTAGAAGTGATTGCCCAGAATTCCAAAGGAGACTCTGTCAAGTAAAGGGATTGAAGGCGTGTGTCCCGGCTTGGAGCCGTTGAGAAGATGTTCAAGAATTTCAATAGTGGAAGTCAAAGCAACTTTAGCTTCCACTCTGGCACTGCTCCCCTGGACCTACAGTGCCATTCCTTCCCTCCTTGCTGTCCTGGTGACTCTGTTTTTCCCTGTCTGAAGAATATTCATTCCATTCTTAGCCATGTAAAATCCTATCCTCCTTTAAAACTCAGTTCTTCAGTCCTTCCAGAGCAGTGTGTGCCTTCTCAGCAAGAGCCCCTCCGTGTTGTACCGAGTGACCTTGTTACACCTCTACTCTCTCCAAATGCTCCTGCCCTCAGCCTGTGAAAGTCAGGAGGGCAGGAGCTGTGTTCATCCCAGAATTCTCACCCTCAGCACAGGCATTTAGATACCTCACTAAATATTCAAATGAAAGAAAAAGAGAAAAAGGAAGTTGGGCAGGGTAGGGGGAAAGGAAAAGGGGAAGATGGAGGAGGAGGAGAAGGAAGCAGATGAGGAGGAGGAGAGGAGGAGTTAAAACATCCCAGCAGCCTGCAGAAGTGCCAGCAAGTACCACTAGGGAAAGAAGAAATGCGCACAACTACCCTTGAAATTAGTTTGGCAGCATGGCAGAAGAGAAAACATTTTTGCTCTTACTGCTGGAGGCATATGCATTGGGGGTCATGGGGAGCTTTTAGGGGTGGGGTCAGAAAAAGCAGAGCATAACATTTAAGAATGAGCAAGTGATTTAGCTTGGCTGGGGTGTGGGCGAAGTCCAGACCAGAAGGGGATGATCCTAGGTGTGTTGGGTCTTGAGGCATTGATCATGGACTAGCAGTAGCCATCACCTAGGACTTTGTAAGAAATGCAGAATTCAGACACACCAAAACAAAACCTTCATTTCAATAAGATGTCTGGGTGACTCCAATTCTCCAAACACATTAACTCTTGAGAAGGACTGCAGATTTTGGAAGCAGGATGAACTCAGAGTAAACAAGGTCTTCTCCATCATCTGGGCAAATAGCACATTTGAAATTACTGACATCCCTAAGCTTCTGCTTTCCATTTCTTTTCCTAATAAAGCCAGAGATGAACTTCACTGAATACTGTTAACAATTTGCTTTGTCACCTCCTTCCTTTTACAGATGGCTTTTGTGTGGGAAGCTGTTTGACAGAAGGGAATGGAGTCACACAGCAAAGTGTCTTTTGAGTATAAGGAGAGGTATGTCTATTCTCATTATGTCCTCTATCTTCCTCCCATACCCCCTCCCCAATCTTCCTTCTTTCTTCATCAGACTCGTGAGGATGACTCCTTGAATTCCAGGGGTCTCGAGAGGCTAAGGTTCAGATGTAATTAATGAAAGTGTATTAAAAGAAAAAAAATCCAGATTGATTTATGATTTTATGCTTCAAATGTTTAAATTTATGTTCTTGTTTCAGAGATGAGGCTAACACAATAAAAGTTCTAACATTAGATTTTTAGATAACAATGATCTCAAAACAATTGTTTTAAAATTTCCTTCACTATTGTCCAAAATCTAAACCTCTTTTTGGCTTCCCCTGATGCCTGGAAAATTACTACCTTTCCATATCTATCTCATGCATAGGCAAGGAAATGCCTCAGAAAATTTACCAGAGGCAAAATATCACACAATATTATGGCAATATCTTGACATATTTTTTATACAGTTCTATTAATCAGAGAGCTCATGTAGCATCTCAATGTGACCAAATAGCCGTTATAATTTGGTTGTTTTGGTGGCTACCTGCATAATTTCAAGCATGTCTGCAAAGATCTTTTTCTTAGCAGAAATCCTTTTTTTTTTTTTTAGCACAAATCTTTAAAAAAAAAAACTATTACTTCATTCTGTCTTTGTCAAAATAGCTTTGGGCTATATCTGTAGGAAGCCAGCTATTTGTCAATTATCCAGCTACTAGGAAACAGATATACCCACTTGGATCTGAGTAATTGGATTCTTCAATTTGCATCCAGATGCTTCTGTGTGGAAACTATCTATGACCAGGAAATATACACAATGTAGATTAGTAACTTGACAGAATAACATTATTTCAAATGCATAGTTTCCTATGAACTGTACACATAGAAGTGAAATTCATTGTCTAATATCTTGCACATAGTAGGTGCTCAGTGGCATTTTGGGGATGTGGGCATAAATAGAGCAGGTTTGAAAATGATACATCTATCAGCTAGTCTTTATATCCATTCAGTGCTTTTCTTTGAATAGCCTGCATTGATTTGAGTTACATATAACCATTGTGTGACTTGATTTTAAGTGCCTTTAAACTTAAATAATGATGCTCTACGGGAATATGCAAATGAGATTCACTTGAAGAGCATGAATGCTGATAATAGAAGAATTAATTAAGTCATGGGAACTATCTTTGCCACTAATTCAATGTGATAGACTTGGGCTGATTTCCCTATTTGAACATATTGCTGGAATTTCTCTTTTAATGCAGGGAGACTTCTCTATTCTGAAATAGAGGAACTCTTTCCAATTCAAACTAGAGAAGGGTAGTTTGTGTTTGCAAAGGGGGTTGGATTCACAAAGGAGATGCTAAGTGAGTCCTCCCTAGACAGGGAGCATTTCTGGGTGGAAATCTGGGCTGCTGAAGAGGTACCAATTTCTGGCCAAGCAAAGTAGGAAAGAGTGTTGAATTCAGTAAAATGTGGTGGAAGGAAATGAAAATCATCAGATCCTTTCTCTGGTGGGTTGGGGTTTGTTGATCTACAAATGAAGCCCTTTTTCCTGGGTACATATACTATTAAGTAATCAAAACCTTTAATTAAGCTTTTGTTCATATCTAGGAGGGAAAAAGAAGCATATGGGCTTTGAGTGAGACAGGTCAGGGTTCTAACCACATCCCAGGCACCTAATGTGATTTCTCTGAGCCTCTGTTTGCTTGTTTGTAGAGTGGGTTGTTGTAAGGATCCAAGGAGATAATGTACACAAACATCTGTCACAACTACTGCCTGGCACATGGCAAGAGCAACGCAGATATTTGTTCCCAAAAAGAAACTTCTGGGATTTGTGCAATATTGTAATTTATAAGAAATACATGTTTGGTCAACAGATGACCAAACATGTATTTCTCATGTCTTGGTCTTCCTCCAGGGTTCCTGACTCCTAAAACCCTTAGAAGTTCCTGTAATAAAAGCAATAAAGAGTGGCGCCTGAGTGGCTCAGTGGATTAAAGCCTCTGCCTTCGGCTCAGGTCATGATCTCAGGGTCCTAGGATGGAGCCCCATGTTGGGTTCTCTGCTCAGGAGGGAGCCTACTTCCCCTTCTTTCTCCGCCTGGCTCTCCACCTACTTGTGATCTCTGTCTGTCAAATAAATAAATAAAATCTTAAAAAAAAAAAAAAAAAGCAATAAAGATGTGTTTTGTTATGTTAATGAAGGCAACTTTTGGGGCAACTTTTGGACCCCACCCAAGGATAGGGGCCAGTTGCCTGGAGAACCAACCAGGTGATTAGAGGGTTGGAACTTTCAGTCTCACCCCCTACCCGATCCTCCTAGGAGAAGAAAGGGCTGGAGATTGAAACAGCCAATGGCCAATGACTTAGTCAATCATGACTATGCAATGAAGCCTCAATAAAAACCCAAAGGCCTGGGTTCAGAGTGCTTGGGGTGGTGAACAAATAGACATGTGGGGGAAAATGGCACATCTGCTCCACTCTTTCCCCACACTTTACCCCATGTATCTTTTCATCTGGCTGTTGATTTGTCTCCTCTATCATGTGTTTAATAAACTGGTCAATGTAAATAAGTGTTTCCTTGAGTTCTGTGAGGCACTCTAGCAAATTAATTCAATTTAAAGTGGTGGCTGTGGGAACATCCTATCTGTAGCCTGTCAGTCAGAAGTATGGTAACAGGGGATGCCTGGGTGGCTCAGTCAGTTAAGCTGCTGCCTTCACCTTAGGTCATGATCCCAGGGTCCTGGGATTGAGTCCCGCACAGGGCTCCTTGCTTAGCAGGGAGCCTGCTTTACTCTCTGCCTCTGCCTGCCTCTCTGCCTGCTTGTGTGCTCTCTCTCTCTCTCTCTCTGATAAAGAAATAAAATATTAAAATAAAAAACTACAGTAACAACATGCTGGGGCTTGGGACTGGCATCTGAAGTTGTGGGTGGGAGACAGTCTTATAGGACTGAACCCTTAACTTGTGGAATCTCTTGCTTTCTTAAAGTCGTGTCAGAATTGAGTTGAATTCTCAAATAACCTGCTGGTGTTTGAGAGAATTGTTTGGTGTAGTGTTTGGGGACCACCCCCCTATCGGAAATTGGGCCTGGAAACCTTAAAGGAATTTGCACGGAGACTGCACAAATCTTTAATATTTTCATAGGAAAGCTATATGGTCTGCTTCTGTTTTTGTTTCCTTGTCTATAAAATGTGGAAAATGGTAACACCTATTTTATAGAATTATTTTTAGAAGTAGCTGAGAAAATGCATGTAAAGCAATGATGACAATCTCAGGAACGTAGAAAGTGATTGATGATAGTGGGTGTTTTAATTACCTGTACCTATTTTTGACAATGTCGGCCATATGAAAATTGATATGAATACCCAGAAATTATAATAACAATAGTTGCCATTAATCTGGTGTCTGCCATGTTTGAGACACCATGTTAAATGCTGTAAGTATATTTCAGTTTAATCTTCACTACCACACAATAAGAGAGGTGTTATTCCCACTTTACATGAGAGGAAACTGGGGCTCAGAGTGGTTATGTAATTTATCTGAAGCTACAGAACTGGTTAAGTTAAAGTGACAAAGTTGAGGTTTCTAATTCCAGAGCCAGTGTTCTTTCCGCAATTGCATGGTAGACAGTGCTATTTCAAGACGTAAGTGTGACTCTGGATAAGGAAGCACCATGACTTATGCATACTCTGCATTGTAAGTGAGGGTAGCAGATAATTTCTGGAAGGAATATTTTAAATAGGACGGAGAAGAAAATTTGTTAGGCCTGGGCATGTAGAAAGTGTGTGTGTGTTAGGCTTGGATTGGGGAGGCCAAGAACAGGGAAGACAAAGGAAGAGCTGAGAATTCTGAAAACGAACTTGGCTTGTACATAGTAATATTAGACTGAATATACTCTGGTGTTTCTGTGCCTTTTGAATGATAGCATTTCTTAGCAATTAAGAGGATGCTCTGGAATCCTGTGGGACCTCATCTGGGTTCAAATTCGAGATTTTTCTCTCACCAGTGGTGTATTCTTAAACATGTTATTTAGCCTCAGCTTTCTTTTCTATAAAATGGGATTAGAACATTAACCATCATTAGTATTACCTTGGAAAATATCACCTACTTCATGTCTAAGAAATTCTTATTTAACTGGTCTGGCATGTAACTCAGGCACTGACATTTTTAAAAACTTCCTGAAGTGATTCAAATACACAGTCAGGGTTGACATCATCAGCTGAGTATTAGAATGTAAGTTCTTTGCAGGTAAGACCATCTTTTTTTCCATTGTTATGGCCCCAGTGTAGTTCACTACCCAGTACATGAGAAGTACTCAATAAAAGTCTGATGAATGATCAATAGCTGAATGCATGATTAGGCTTAGATCCAAATCTGAGGTTTGCTTCTATATGTCCAGTGCTCACTCTATACTCTATAATGCTACTTCTTGGATATTGTTAGATGACTGCTATTCTCCTTGAACAATATGGCTTACCCTCAGTTCTTCAGATAAACCAAGCTAAAAATATGAATTGTTGTCTCACCAAATTGAGGAATCCAGCGATAGCTGAGCTTCAAGCATGGTAGGATTCCAGAGCACAGATAACCGCATCATGACTCTGTTTCTCTCCCTTCTTCTCTTTGTTTCTTCTCTCCATCTGACTTCTCTATCAGATGGGCTGTTCTTTGAGTTTCTGGATAGCATCCCCTGTATCTGCTTATCTCAGGGCTCTATGTCACTGTTCCATCCTTGGAGTCAGGGGTAGGAGCTTAAAGTCCATGGGCTAATGCTCCAAAGAGAATCAGAGTTCTCTATCAAAGAAGAATTATGGCCTCTTGACTACCAAATCCAACAAAATAGATAGAAATGCCTAGAACTCAGCTATCTTATGGTTTCTAAGAAAAATGTAATTGTAAGAGGAGTCTACCTATTTTCTTCTGAGGAGACCTACTTCCACCAGCAGTATACCAGTTGTGCTGAACAATGACAAATGGTTGTTCCCTGTGGGAAATATCTTTCATTAGTGTCCTTGGCATCTAACACATTCTTTCATTCTAAAAACCATCACCTTTGATTACACCATATTGCCGATCACCTGGAGCAGTCATTCTCAAAATAACCAGGTGCGATTTTGTCCCCCAGGAAATAATAGACAACATCTGGAGAAATTTTTGGTTGCCACATCTTAGGGGATGGGTGCTACTGGCATCTAATGGGTAGAGCCCAGGGATGCTGCTAAACTATCATACACTGCACTCAATAACCCTCCACAGTAAAAACTTAACAGCCCGAGAAGTTAATGATGCCAAGATTGAGAAATCACGAACTTGATAATTATAGAAGCTTCCTAAAAGTTCTCTGTATCTTTATTCTCTTTTTTTTTTCTCTAGTCTTTCCACTTCTGGTCCTCTAAAGTGATTTTTGTACAGTACGAATCTAATAGTATTGTCTTCCTGCAGAAGAACCATATAGTTTCTCACGATGACAGAAACTACAAATTCTTCACTATGATTCAAGTCCTTTGAAAATCTGGTTCCATCTGACCTTTCAAACCTTCCTCTTCCTATACCTCCCCATATCCAATATACACTTAACTGCCCCAGATGTTTTCTTTCTCTTACGGAGCAATGTATCCATGTATGCTGTACCACACCAGGCTTTCCTTTCTTTGATGTCTTCATGGTGTTTCTCCATATGTAGATTGCTGTTCCCACTTTTTTTCTGTCATTCATGCACTCATGCACTGGATATTATTGAATAGCTTTCTTTTGCCAGGTGCTGTACTAAACCATGCAGATAGTGGTGGATGAGTCATCATCAGTTCCTTTTCCTGTGAGCTTAGAGTTTAGTAAGGCAGACAAATAAGTGATGTGATGTGATGTGATGTGAATGGGGAAAGGGCACTGGGAGCATGTAACTTGGCTGGAGGTTGGGGTCAGAGAAAACTTCTGGGAGGAAGTGATTTTTAAGCCAAAGTATAAACGTAGTTAGAGTTAGTCAGGCATTGGCCAGGTAAATAGGGTTGAAATTGTCTTTCCCAGCCTACCCAAACTTCAAGGCCTTGTTCCTATGTTCACTCTTATCTGGGACCTTCCTAGGTTTTTCCAGTGGAGATAAATTCCTTCTGTTTGGCTCGGATGACACCTTTGAGGTCTATTATAATATTTATTACCATCTACCTTGCTTATGTATTCCTGGTAAATACAATAAGTGAACTCATGGTAAATATTTAAATTGAAAATGTCAGACTTGGCAAAGGATTCACAAGCAATGTTCTCTTACTTCAGAAAGACAGTTTGAATGCTGTGAAGTACATTTTTCTCCCTCACCAGCAAAACAACTCCACCAAATATCATACATAGATTTTTAGGAGGAAGTTATCCTGATGTGTGGTGTTGGAACTGGACGCTGAGAGATACAGGAGGCAGCATGCACACCAGAGTTCACCCTTTGCTATCATCAGGGTAAAGCCCAATCTAGACACTTCATTCATTCAGTGGGTATTGTTGGGTACCCTGCTGTGGACCAGTTGCCAGTATTTGATATAGAAAATAGACTGCTAAGCTAGACTGAGGCATTCTTACACTGTGTCTAGTAGAAGATAGACATGAAGCAAAGAATCCCATGAGTAGATGTGCACTTGCTAACTGTAATGGGTCCAATGAAGGACCCATCCAATTGTAAACTGTGATGGGTCCAATGAAGGGTCCTACCAGGGAATCTGAATAAGAGAGTGATTTGGTGCATATGTGTGTGGGGGGAGTGCAGAAGGGGGTGACATTGGAAATAAGGGTCTGATCATTAACAAATTTGACAAGTAAGGGAACAGGAAAGAGAATATCTGAGAGAGGAAATAACATGAGTTAAAGAAGGAATGTTCAGGGGTGCCTGGGTGGCTCAGTCGGTCAGGTGTCCAACTCTTGATTTCAGCTCAGGTCATGATCACAGGGTCATGGGATTGAGTCCTGCATTGGGTTCTGCACTCAGTGGGGAGTCTGGTTGAGATTCTCTC